CGGCGGGGCCTCCTCCCGTGAACAAACGCGGGGCGAGCCGGCACGCGGCTCCTCTGCCCTCGAGGCCAGAGCCCCCGGCTGCCTGCGCGTTACACTCGGTGTCTCTCTGCCATTCGCCCGTGGGTGGGGACAGACGCGAGGCAGGACGAGGTCCCTGTAAGCGGCGCCTGGGTGCGGAAGGCTCGGAGGGGGGCTGGCTCCCCACGGCGGCGCCTGGAAAGGGGCCTGGGGCCGGCGGCGCAGGCAGGCCCGCAGCCCGGGGCCACGGTGATTAACTGATTCCCTGTGCAAATGAAAATCAAGAGATATCGGTGGGACACAGAACTGCCTCTATTAATTTAAAGTATTGGAAAGGGTGCGTCAATTAAGGTTATAATTTAGTATATTATAAATCTAAGGGTAGAATTTTGCTTATTACAGTATAAACAGTTTGCAGTGTGGTTGAGAAGGAAATTTTAACTTCTACAATACTGCCCTCTAATGGCTTATGTTATAAAAACAGAAACAAAATCTTGAGCACATACTTGGGACCTCTATTCCACAGGCAAATTGGTCACAAATAATTCCAACATAAAATTTGACCACAGAACATAAATATAGTCTCCTGTCAGGGAGACACAGAGAGAGAGGGAGAGACAGTAACAGAAAGAGACAGGCAGACAGAGGGACGGACAGATGGAGGGACAGACACAACATAGACACATCTCCCCATTCTCCCTCAAGGAGCACCCTTCCCTGAAACGGCCACCAGAGCCCTTTAGCCAGTCTGTGAAGCTGACCCAAGTCTGGCGGGGCGGGGAGGATCTGGCTTCAGAGCCGTCTAAAGCAATTAGGAACCAAATCTGGTTAATGCAGTAGACGGAAATAATCCTCTTTTGGGCGAAAACTCAAAATACGACTATCATAAACAATAAAATTCATTTTCATTATAAGGTTCATTTGTTAGGCTTCACACCTGAATACAATAATGTTAGCACATGTATAATTTATAAAAATTAAATATATGATACAATATTTAAAGAGGTCTCTCTCCCATTTTCTGTAATAGGAATTAGTAAGTAGAGGCCTAAAAAATCAGAACTTGAGAAACAGTCATGTAGTTCTATTGACTATGAATGTTAAGCAGCATCATTACTTACCACATAATACTTTCTATATTTTGAAAATTGTGAAAAGGTTCATTTACCTTTTTTAACTGAACACCAACTCCAGAAGAGTTAAAAAGCTCTAAGGTTATATAAATAAGTGAATTTAAAATTCACAGCTGGGGTTCTAAAATATTACTGAATTAACCTTATTTATTCATGTTGTTCTTGAACATAACCAGAGAGATATAAGCTGATTATATTTTTCATTGAATCATTTCAACTGACTGCCTACTGTACTAAGCCAGAGAAGTAAATATAAGCAACCACAGTGTATGGAACCCATATTCCTACTAAATAACATTTTGGTTATCTCCAATGTTTTTTATTTTAAATAAAACTGCAAGAAACATCTTTGTAAGTACATACTTTGTGTGTGTGTGTGTGTGTGTGTGTGTGTGTGTGTGTATCTACTTCTGGAGAATTTTCTGGGCCAAAGGATATGTAATCAAGAAAACAATTAGAAATCTAATCTTGGTAGATCTTTAATATAAATGTGCTAGATTCCCATAAAGCTGGATTTTCATATGAAAATTGAAAAAGAATCTGAAAAAGAAGGCAAAGGAAATGGAGGAAAGATTCATGGAGGAAAACCATTGGATAAGAAATGTTTGAGGTGCAAATGACCAGAAATGTCTGCAAGACAAAGTATCTATGAGTCTTCTGCCTTCTCAGAGCTCAGTGAAGACTTGCTAATAGGACAAAGAAAACACTACAAACTGCCAGGAAAGACAGATCATACAAGTCAGCTTGGGGCACCGGGCACTCATTCCCATAAGTAATCAGAAACACAGGCAAGGGCCTGGACATTTGAGACTCGGGTATTTTGCTATTGTTGTCTGCCAAAGAACCTCTATGCGTGGATTCCAACCAAACCACCTCTGCATCTTGGGAATAACCAAGAGAAAGCACTAGGAGAAGAGGGGCAGGGGCAGGGCCTGTCTGTTTCTAACTCGGTAACACATGCTCTTCTCCAAACTTGGTCTGACTCGGCCAACACTGGTACAGATGGCAACCCACCGCTTAAACAAGACACTCGCCTTTGTCCAAAGTGACTGGCAAGGAAGTAGTTAAGGCACAGCACCCTGCACTCAACACAGTTACTGTTGTCTAGGGACTCTCAGCTCATCTCTACTTTTCTAGATTATTCTTAGTAGGCACTGGTAGTAAGGTTATCACATTAGCAAATATAATAAAATCACAGGATTTTAAAATGTGGTATATATATCCTATACATAATAAAATACTACTCAGCCATAAAAAAAAAATTCCTATTACTTGCAACAACGTGCATAGAAACAGAAGACATTTAAGTGAAATAGGTCAGGCACGGAAAGACAAATACTGCATGATCTCACTTGTATGTGGAATCTAAAAAAAATTGATCCCGTAAAAACAGAGAACAGTGCTTACCAAGGGCAGGGGCAGGGGGGTCGGGGAAGAGAACAGGAGGCTGTAAGTGAAACTGCAGAAGGGAGGATTATGTTGAGGAGATGGAGACCTGCTGCACAGCACAGTGACTGTAACTATGATACACTGTACCTTTAAATGCAGTGAGAATGGGTATCAAGTGTTCTCATCACACCACAATAAGTATGTGAACTCATTCATCTGTCAATCAGCTAGATTTAACCTCCACGATGTATATTTACTTCAAAAAACACTTTTATATACAACGAATAGATGTTTATCTGTCAATTTAAAAAATATTCAAAATAGGGCCGGGGATGTAGCTTAGTAGCACAGTGCTTGCCTGGCAAGCACAAGGTCCTGAGATCGATTCCTGGTATCAAAAAATTATATATATATTCAAAATAAACTGAAATACATTGAGAAAAATCTTATTTATATACAATTTAGTGGTGGTTCCCCTCCACTGTCAGAAAGAAGTACCAAAGAAATCAAAAAAGAAAAAGCTGTTACACTTAACTTTATTTTACATTTGATTTACACAAAAAGATTGGAAAAGTTAAAAAAAATCTTCCAAAAAGTACAACGAAATAAAAAGAGATTAAAAAACAAGAAGCTTAAAAAAGGAACTTGGATGACCCAATGTCAAAA